GACAAACCCATGTACTGTTGATTATAATGATTCCAATTGCCATTAAACTGCTCATCATTTTGATAGTCATCTAAATAGTTATTCTGGTGCTCAGTATTATATTCTTCATAAGAAAAGTCATTAATTTGATTTTTATTATTATGAACGTCGGTGTCATCTCTATCGTCGTTTGTTTCATCGATTTTCATGACTTCGACCGGAGTTGTCGTCACATTATTTCCCATTTCGTGCCTTTTCTTCAGTCATTTACTTTTAAAATTACATTTTTTAAGATCTCATTAAGATTTTTGTTAATATGTCTTAAATTCATTTCATTAAACAGTTTAAAACTTAATTTACGTTATTATGCAACAAATAAGAAATCATTTTTCAAATTATTAAAGTTTATTTTCTTATTATTTGCCATTACTTCATAATAAAATTAAGATAGAAAAGTGCTTTTAAAGTAAACTAAATATTAATTATAGAAACAGTGTGTAAGAAAATATGAGAAAAGTCAATATATGTAACAAACGTTTGTATTGGCACAATAGTTTTGTTTTGAAACAATAGTTAACTTAACAACAAATGAAACTACAGAATAAACACAATTTTTATATTTGTTTCAAACGGTTAACCATAATTCGCACACATTTTGCATTTATTAATAAAAGGCACACAACTATGGAAACGACAGAATCAAGTGAACTGTCCGACAGTGGAAACATTGAACATTGAATTCTCGATTCTTCATAATTAATTAGATCATAAATTCATAATATTTTTGTAGCAAATCGACTCTCACGCATGTGATATAACCAACAAATCTAATAATTTTCGTATTGTAATGGTTTGTTTGTTATCATTTAATGATCGATTAGATCTACAGTATTAGTAAATGGTAGACAATAATATACAAGTATTCAGTCAAATAAGAAATGTATGGAAATGTATGTATGATATGCTTAAATGTTTCAAATAATTCTTATTGAATCTTCAAATGATCACACAAATACAAATGTATAACTCAATACTCAAGTATTTTTTTGAAAAAATTAATATATTATACTAGTAATATATTTTCTCTACTAATGCATTACAAATATCTTTCTACTAACGCATACAAGACTAAGAATAACTTTATTTGAAAAATCAATTTTTGAAAACAGTACAATTCATACAGTATGTAAATTCAATAGAATATATAATTAATATGAGAATATAAAATATGCCAAACAATATATTGTATGTTGTTGCAAATAATCCCCCAGTTATGAATGTAAGAAAACATTATTACCACAAAAAGGCAATTACTTATAGATTATTTGAAAAATAGTCACTTCTGTGAAGTTGACATCCAATAGAAAGAAAATATGCATTAAATGATTGCTATATTAATATGAATTCTTGCATTAATATTATATTTTCTTTTATTACTATTCAATACACACAGAAATGGACAAACTTTAATAGCACTTTATTATTATATTGTATTAATTTTTATTTAAATTGTTTGTTTTGTTATAAATTATAGTTTGAATTTTATAATACATTAATCTTTGTGGTTTTAATGATTATGATTAATGTGATTTTTACAAACTTTTTTCTAAGCGTTTTGTTTTCTAAATCATTTTGACAATCAACAAGTCATTCACAATAAAAATTATAAAACAATATATAATATCAATAATTAAAAATATTGTAACATTATTATAAACTCATAAATCAACCATAACACTAATTAAATATATCAAAGTGTAAATTGTACCAGAGTAAAAATATGATCGGTGTTATGAATTGGATGGCAAATGTTTGGCCTCTTCATAAGTTGGCGGCACCTCATTGTTAGAGATCAATGAATCTCTTGTCTTGTCTTCTGTCTCAGCGATAGGACCGGCTGTTTGTGGAGAGAAAAATGATTGCCTTAAGACCATAGAGTTCTCACTAACACTGGTATTACGCTCTCTCTGTCTTCCGTTCATTTCGATGGCAGTGACCGCAGGGTTGGACACAACCATCGACTCACACGTCTCCTCATTATCTTCAGCCGAGACTACTCTTGGTTTCACTTTTCTGTTTGATATTCATTTAAGTGATTAAACACTAAAACTAATTTTAAATGACTTTATATACCGATTCTTTATAGTAATAAATGTTGTAATGAATACTAAAATGGTAACAATGA